TGCATTTGGAGCAATTTTTTTTTTTCCTCTCTCTTTGCTGAGTAGAGTTTTATAATTAACTGACAGCCATATCACAAGGGCATTGGCTTGTTTCTGTGTTAAATATGGAGATGACAGTTTTATGAGGTAAAATATTCATCTGATGCAGTCGCCTTTTCCGTGTGATTACGGTCTAAGTCCTGGTTTGATATTTTTCACTTTAGTTCAGCAATTTTGCTTCAGAATTCAGGCTTTGTCATATTTTTTGGGCAATTTTCATCTAATTTGCAAGTCAGTATGTCATCTGCATACAGGCAGCAATTTGTCCCTCACTGCAAACAAATCCAAATAAGAAAAAAAAAAAGTTCTTTCATATTCAGATCTGCTTTATTTTCCTGAGTCCCAGGATGGATGAGTTTTGGTGAGGAGCCAGAGAACAAGAGAGGTTGTAGTTTTTAGTTTTTTTTTTTTTTGTCACATCAGTTCCATTGAGAGCCATTTCAGACAAAACAGAACAGAGGACTACTCGGGTGCTAGTTTTGTTTTAAACTGGGACTCATTCTCTGTAATTCTCTGATTCAGGGTTGTTAGAAACACAACACACAACTCTACTGGGTGCAAAAAAGAAAAAAAAAAACAACTCATCAGCATTCAAGAAATCTGCAAACGCCTGTGTATGTATGTGTGTATGCTGGTCCTGATCAGCAGGGGAGAACAAATTTTAAGGACAGGTTAGGACGATGATCGCATGCATGAAAGTGTGCTTTGAAAGGGATTATAGAAGCAAGGTCACTGGTTGGGGAGAAAGAGAGTGTTAGAAACAAAAAAAAAAGGCCTGGGACAATTTGGGCGACGTGTTTCCTTTGATCGACAGTCTTTTCTGCATGTGTGTGTCTGTTTGTATGTATGAGCATGCATTTCTGTGTGCATGGGTTTGCCTCCACATGTGCAAACGGGCTTGTTTGATGTGGTGGTTCTGGTACATTTCAAAGGCAGGGCTGTGATGAGAATTCTTCAGAACAGCAGGGTAAAAGGAGGGGGGTATATTGAGGAGGGGTGGGGTCTAAACCCTGATTGGCATTCATAGCAGAGAGGCTGGAGTGCTGCTAAAAAAGAAATTAGGCTTTAACTAAGCTGCACCATTCAGCTGTTTAACTAAGCTGCTGCGCAGTTCAGCTGTTTGAAATTCTGTCTTCTCAGGCCTTCTATTAATAAATGCATAATTGATTAGGGGGAGCATACGTGCCTGAACACTCCTCTAACTGACAAAACACACACATGCTTAGATATGTCCCTATACCATCAGACACACACACATGAACAGATCTAGTTTAGCTTATTAAAGTTTTTCATGTTGCTGTTTTCCTACTTTGTGAATCTTTTTTTCCCTCTCAAGTTTACCTCCTGTCTGCTATTTTCCTCAATGTCTTCCCTCATCCCTACGCCTCTCCACCTGAACCCTCCCCACCTCTATCGTCTCTTGCTCTGTCATCCACCTCCATATAGATTGTATGCCCTATCATCCTCGGGGAGTCATAAATGGATGTCCTCTACTCAAACGCTTATCAAAAACCTTTGAGTTCTCGTTCTCTTTGAGCATGCCACCTTTGGGGGACACATGTATAACATTGGGTCAGTGTTTGTGCTAATAAATAGACAGTCACCTTTAAATGTACTTAGTTATCAAGACACAGTATATAAGTTGTTTCAAATGTAATTTTCCAGTTATTGACTCCAATCCTTGACTTGTTGAGGCTGAGAAAAGTATAAAGTTACTCATATCAGATTTTTAAGTTATGTTACTATTTTAGATTTCTGGAAAAAAATTGGGAGTTTATGTGAACATCTTGATTTTTTAAATGAATATTGGTAATATTTTATTTAGAAAAGGTTTGCAGCAAAGAAAACTCTTACATTTTCTCCAATTGTGCATTAGATTACACAAATGTCTCGCTGTGGTGATTATCTGGAGCTGCCCAGGGTTCAATTCTTGGACAATGCAATTTTTTGTTTGTTTCTTTAGAAAGTATAACACCTTTTAAATAGCTAGGAATACTAATCCAAGAGTACTTTTTTGCAGTGGCAGTATGCTGGAAATACACACCAGATTTTCTAAGAAAATTGCTGGAAGTCAATCATTAAAAAGGACTGAGGTCAGTAGAAACAGGGAGCTAATGAGGTTGTATTAACCCATTGATATTAGGTTCAGGATTCCTTACTTTTCTCTTTATGCAAGGAAAACCATTTAAATCCTTCTATGTAAGCTTGTTTTTTAAAGTTTGTGTGTGTTTCAGGCATTTATTGACAAAAAAATAGATGATAAAGTTATCAAAGAACAGCGCTCAGAGTATCTCCACAAACACAAACCTCAAAAGATTTTTAAGAACATATACACATATTAAGCTGTGCTTCTCATTTTAAATTGATAAAACATTTTAATTACTACTTTTTAAAGTTTTTAGTTATTTACACATTTTTTATTAGCCAATATTTTTCTGTGTTACATTCTGTTACAGATATAGGTAAGGGACACTTAAATTCTAGAAAAATTGTAAAAGGTTAGCTGCTTTTATCCTTTACATATTATAATATCATCAATTTATTATTAGCATGGTGATTATTTCATCACACGAGCCTACTACATGCTAAGCAGCCACATTGAACAGCCCCTATTGAATCTAGCAGAAACCTGACGTATAGTATGTGAGCATGAGCCGTACCCATTGCCAACTGTTCAGCCAATGATGTCAAAATCTGCACAAGTACTTCCTCATTACACTAAAGTCTCTCTTTATTAAGTTATTTAAGTAATTCTTAACTAAAACACAGACAATTCTGATTTATCCATAGGTTGGAGTTAAATGTTATTAAAAAAAAGAAGATGTTCCACTAACAACGCCTTTAAGTATGCAGAAATCTAACTAAATAATGAGTTTTAGCTACCCAGTCTAATGAATTACTTTTAGGTTTTCTGTGGGATTATATGGTGTCTTAATAACTGCATGTTCGTTGGCTGATCGGCGTTCAATACAGTTTTGCCGAAGATAGACTGTTTTTTAAGTGATTTATGCATCTCTTGATCAAACATAACACAATTTAAGTCATGTGAAATTAAATCAAGCCAGGGAAGCAAAGGTAAACTAATTTTACCAGGCTGTGTTTTTGTCCCCAATCCCTATTATTCTAGATTGTGCTTCACTGCCCCCAAAGACTGGGACTGTGTCCAGAGACATAATTTGAACTCAGAATTACACATCACCTGCCCTAAGCCTGTGACTATCCAGCTCTTGCACAGAAATAGTTTCCTCACAGGAGCAGCTATTTTGGGATTCTCCACTCCATTACCAAACTGTCTATGCAACACTGTGGGGAGAGAACTGCTTTTAAAGAGGATAAGAAATGCCCATGTGATCGGCTGGCCGTTATATTTACCGAACCCTAATGCACAGATAATGTATGCTAATGGATTCGGCTTAATCCAAAATCTGTTTTTGAGTAGATTCATGGCACACCTCCACCTGATGTCCAAAAGTAAAAGTGCCGCCTTTCCGCTCTGAATTAGAATTAATTGTTTTTGTACACTGACTCACAGGCTGCAGAGGGATGTGAAAATAACAATTAGTATAGGTTAGTCGTAGTAATTCAATTGAAATAATCCTAAATTGTCAATAGAAAGCAAACACACTACTTATTTTCCTTTTTTTTTTTTTATCTTTTCATCCAAGAGGTAATATTTTTCCTTTTGGCTCATTGGTCTATTGAGGAATCATGATTTCAAGAGCCAAAAAAACTGCCTCTGGCTTAAAAACTTGGATAACCATGACCTAGATGACTCAGAATCCATGCAGACAATTAACAATAACACGCTTTCAGGGGAATTCAAACTCTTAGCCTGACATCCTCAATTGCTGTTATGCCAAATATTCTCTGTTTGTATCTTTAATACATTAGAAAGGCAAAAACGGTCTAAAATGAATTAAAATTGTTGCCTTTATGTGCCAAATAAAATAAAATAAAAATAAACAAAGTAAAACTTCTTCCTATTGTCAACAAAGCTGTTGTAATAGTACATAATGATGAATAATCTATAGTTATTTTAACTGCTCGTTTACAGATTTGATATATTTTTCTTTATTCTTTTTGCTCATTTTAATTCACCTTTCTCTTGCTTCCTCCCCGTCTCCTCCATTTGACCCAAGATGAGCCAGGCCAGTTAAAGATCTACCTTCCCAAGAAGCTGCTGGAGTGTCTACCCAAATGTTCCTCTCTGCCCAAGGAGCGCCATCGCTGGAACACCAACGAGGTGAGAAAGAGACACGCTGGAATTGAGGAAATATCCATCACATGGTGATGAGAATGAGCTGTTTCTTTTTTTATTTGTGTGTGACTCATCTCTAAATGATGTCACATTTAGAAACCAAGAGGAGGTAAACAAACGCTCTGGTAGCTCTACAGAGCGAGATCCTAAAACTGGAACAGTGGGAGATAAAATAGATTAGAGTCAAACTCATGAGGAAGAATCCTGTTTTTCTAAGTTTAGCGATGTTTAGTCATAAAAACAGCTTCCGACACAATCAGAGGCAGAGCTGGCTCATACGAGAGCAAAGATATTTTCTTAACTCAGATTTTATGCTACCTTTGTACCTCCTTTATAATTTCTTATGGATGGATGGATGAGGAGAGAAAAACAGGACAAATGTCTTTTATCCCAGCCGTAGTTGCCTCTAACTGTAGCTAATGCTACAAGTGTGTTGGGTACAAAGGAAGTTAAAAAGACTGTCATCTCATTCGGTCACACAATAAACATTCTTGGAAGAGCCTTGTATTGATTTAATTTAGTAATATTACCTATAGAGCAGACTATGACATGTCTTTGAAGTGACAATGTTGACAGTCAAAATTCATCGCAGCGGCTCATCAATCAGCGATCGGTCGGTATTTAGAAGAACAAAGACGGTTAATTCTCTACCAAAAGCCCAGAATTTGTCTTGGGACACAAGATGAACAAACCTGATACCGACGGCATCAGTACCTCAATGCAACAGTTATAAACAGGAGCTACCACTTGTTTGTCTGTACAAAGGTAACAAACCCTTTTTCTGTAATTGTGTCATAATAATATTGTTTGCTCATGTTTAGCTTAGAAAAAGTTAACAATTATGAGTTTGTTTAGCCTATCGAAGGCAACCTGCTGAAATGGGCTTTAAATATTGATTACCTGATTATTTACGTGAAAGAAGCATGCCTCTAGGCCTGAAACGATGAATTGGATCAATCTTTAATATTCAATTAGTAAAATAATTGTCAACTAATTTATTAATCAAATCGTAGTTACCTAGAGATATGAATATACCTAAAACATACCATTTGCTGAAAGCATAACCTACTTTAACAGGGGTTGACGTTAAGGATTTTTACCACTTTGACTTTCACATTTCATTTGCCCAGAAACAATTTTTACTTGCCCAGTATAATGTTTGATAAATATAGTTCCTAATATTCATTTTTGTATATATATATATATCAATGAAACATGTTTGTTTTTTTAAACGTTTTTTGTAATTCAGTACTTTTTAATTTTACAGGTTCCTGGTGTGTATATGCATGCCTCAGATAATGAACTCAAGCCTACATTACCGTGTTAACATGCCTTTCAATCCTTCCTGCACTAAACTTTGCTTTAAACTGTTGTGTGCTTGGGAAAAATACAAATTGTAATGTTAAAAATCAAAAAAAAAAACTTGACAGGTTAAAAACGTAAGATAAATTACAAGATAGAAGTCAATGTCACAAATGAATAACTTATTTTAGAGTCACGGTATGTTTATACAAGATAATACTATTAATATAATGTGACTTTTCTAGAGAATCATTATACAGTTATTTTATACAGGGTTTCCACAGTCTTACATAATTTCAGAATTCCCTGACTTTTAACTGACTCAGGATTAGTTTTCCCTGACAAAATAAATGCAGCAACAAGACAATAATATTAACATAACAGGTCACCAATTTAACATGTTTAGCTCTATAACATTTAAATGCACCTCTCCAATGTCTGAGAGAAAAAAATGAATGAACATTTTTTAAATATATGACCACTGTACTGAAGACTGCCATATGATAGCGCTTTCTAGCTTGTTTGTCGTTTTGGTAACTACATCAAAATTACCGCTAGGTTGAGAAAAATCACGCCATCTGGCGGAAAATCTCGCAGCTTTTTCAAATCACGCGTCTTTTTCAAATCACGCGAGAATGTGTACAAAACAACAAAAATGGCGCCGGCTGGGTTGTTTTCAGCTAATGTCGGTGATTTTAAAGTAATTTTGAGTGATAAATAATTTTTTTGCGATCACTGTACTCGCCCGGCGGTCAAATGCAATGAAATTTGTACTCTCCCGACAATAAAAACTACTTGCCCCGGGCGATCGACCTACATGTTTGATTTTCACCCTCCTCTAATATATGTGCTTAATTAAATTTATTTTATAACCATAAAAGGCTTCAAGTCACAACTTCTCAAAGCCTGTTTGACTGTGTCCATTATTATTCTCTCTCTGTCTGTGGATTTGTCTCTTGCCACCTAGAAATAACTTTACTGACTTGATGTGAAAAAAAAGAGGTCTGTTGTCTTTGGCTTAATGTTTCCTGATAGGGCAAAATGTTTCTTTAATTGCTTAAGGCAATGTGCCTCAATGTGTAGCCGTTAAACTTATCCTGTTTGTCAGAGCTTTTCTTTCACCACCTGGATTCAATGTAGGCGGAGCTATCTTGCGGTTGCTGTCACGTCAATTATAGAAATAAATTAGAAAATAGTAAAACTCGCGTCCTTATGCTTACAAACAACCTCTCCTCTCACCTTAATGGTCTGTCTGCTGAACCCCCACTAGAATAATCTATTGCATTGTATTCTCCTCTTACAGCGTGGACCATTCGTTCCATTGACGCCAAAACTTTATATTCTTTCATATTTTTTCTGCAATTTTTCAAATAGAAAGAGCATTTTCAGGTTGGTAAGCACAGATCAGCCCTTTTCACTTGCTTACTTTCTGAAATATCGCTGGGGAAAGTAAGAACACTACCTCCATACTATCTCAGTGTTGTCAATAGGCAATCTCATATCCAGTAAACATAAAACTGTCAGAAAGTCTGATATTTGTGTGAATAAAATCCTTTTTAAAGTAAAAAAAAAAAAAAAAAAAGAGAATACGCCATCATGTGTTTATAGTAGTTGCTTTAATTGTGGAGGGAAGTCTGTGAAGTTTGTGTTAATGTGATAAAAAAGTAAATTTTATAAGTAATTATTAGCTTTATCTTTTATATATTTCAGCTTTTGTTGCTCTAAGTTTAGATAAATTGCTCTCTGTAGGAGAAATGTCATGCCAGACTAAAGTGGCAGACATTTTCTAATAAATCTAACATAAATCGCTGCATTTAACCAGCTTTTATCTCACTTTTAACCTCCAATCACATGTCTTATGCATCATTTTACATTTGCAGAGACATATCTCTAAACAAAATGACCCAACAGAAAGAAAAATTGTGCTATTAGCATTAAAAAGAAAACTGAGGTACTATATGCATATAGGTTGAGTGGTGTAAATCTAACTTAAGGGCCTTTTGAATGTTATTCAAAGTTTAGTGCTTTATTTTTTGTTAAAAATATATGCCTACCACTCATTAATATAAGGCTGCCTGAGGCAAGGTCGCATTATATTTTCAACATGAACAGATCAATGAGGTTTACACCTCTAGTCCGGAGGTCTTTAACAGGGGGTCCGCAACACCTAGGGGGTCCAATGAGGTACTGCATGGGGGTCGCGAAAGTTTTGGTTGATTAGACTTTTTTTAAATATTCCCCCTTGCAATTTTTTCTACTAATTGAAATGTCTTCAAATCCACATTAACATTAATTCAACACACTGTAGTAAACAGATAAATGGAGGCAGAAGATGTCTTTCAGTCATCAACACACACATTCAGCGACACACAGGAGCTCTTTCAAGCTGGGCACCGTTTCATTCACAACACCTGTCCCATCAACCAGGAATCAGAGTCAGAAATACTTTAATAATCCCAGGAAGAAATTACTTTCGTTACATTACTCCATCTGTAAGAGAGTGACTATAGGACCAGTTTGATATAACACAATTTCATACAATATATATAATTAGAGGGTCCCTGCTCCATCTCGCCATCAGTTTGGGGTCCTTGGCCTGGAAAACATTGAAAATCCCTGATCTAGTCGATTAGTTGAAAATACAATAAGGACAAATCAGGTTGGGACAATCTCTCAATATTGGACAGGTTAGTCACAGCGGTAAGCTACCAGGCTCCTGAAAGTTTTATAAAGACTCATACGTCATTCTTGACTAAAGCTATCAGCTTAGGAAAATGTTTGTTGCGTGAAAATGGATGTGAGCATTTATCATGAAAGGCTTCTTGATTATGCATGGCGCAGCTCTCCGCCGGTGGTTTGCTCCATCCAATGTGATGTGGTCGGGCTCTGCTGAGACAATTTCTTCATGTGCAGGCTTTGCACTCCATTAGAGATGTGTGTTTGTGTTATTGATTAGCAGGTCTAGCATTATTATGCAATGCAAAACTTATTTGGCCTGTGGTTTTATTGTTGTTATTTTTGTGTGTGTGTTTTTTTTATATTACATTTTCTATGCAATCCATCTTGATGAAGGTCATACTGAGAGTTAAACACGGAGTCATGTGAGCAGAGTGTTCACATTAAAAGATAATGTATGATTGAGGATAACCACAGCCGGTTAGAGACCTCCAGTCACCAGGGGTATCTAAGACCAGCGGCAATTACGGCTTAAGGAAACGATCAGCAGTCCGGGTTTGTGTTTCCTCTAACCCAACCTGCTCTAGTTCTTCACCAACTCTCTCTTCTTCCCTCTGCATTTCCTCCCCACCACAAACCCACAATGATCACCCACCTCTCTACACGGCTCTCTCTCTCTCTGATGAGGAGATACACGCTTAGTTCAGGGGGAGGTTGGGGGTCCCTGAGCGAATTCCTTCAAAGCTCCTCTTCCAACCAGGGATAAAGTTTCCTGCATACTTAAACACTCAATTGTGTCTTCTTTCTCTCTCTCTCTCTTTTTTTGGTACTTTTTTAGTGGGAGTCTGGTGTATCCGATCTGTGCATGTAGCCCGTGTATACATTTCAGTCTGCGTTGGTTTTTTGTTTTTTTTTGCCTACATGGTCCAGTCTTTCTCTTTTCTGGATTCAGAGCTTTTATTATCCTTTTATTTTATGTTTGTTTACCTTAAAGTATCAGAAATGCT